TACACTTTGAAATTTAGTAATTCATTTCTATGATATAAAAACAAATTTTCACTATATTAACATGGTGAGGACTGTCGTATAATTTGGTGTTACAGTATGAGCTTGTAATGGCGGTGTGTCATTGTGTGTTGAGACAATTGGTCGATGCTCTTGCCATCAATACTGGTATGCCTGGTCCAGACTTATATTTGTTACAAGTGATACATCAAGTATTGATGACTGTATCATCAAACAACACTGACTCCAGTAATAGATCACATTAGACATGTCAGGACAGGCCGTTGTATCCATGAAGATCAAGGTCTACTAATTTTTGTAAATCTTTGTAAACTTTAGCACATATTAGATGGGATGAATTTCCCTCCTTGTGCAAACTCCGAGCATGTTTTGGGTGGAATATAACTAACGTTTGGATTGATTGATTGACAGCTGACAGTAAGGAGGAATGTCTGTGGAAAATTGTAAGATTTTATAGTGTGAGGACATCAATTAGACAGAAATAACAGTTATGATGTAATAGAGAAGTGTATTTGAAGGAATTATGTAATTCGCATATCCTAAACACTTGAACTTAGCTACTGAGAAAGTAATAAACTTTACACCATGATGTGGAGCAGATGGTTGAGAAACTTGAGGGATTGGCAAATTGTGTCTTTAAAAAACATGGAACAGATTTCAGGACAGAGACACTGGGAGACTCTGACTCAAGTTAAGGATTGGCCTGTTCATTAATTTTATCTCTTCACTCCTTCAAAAGTTGAAGGCATCAAGGAGAATATTATGAAATAGTTATGTGATTGGCAATGTTGAGCCTCAGTGTTGCTGGCAGCCAGTGTTAAGGATATATTCCAAGAGCGATAAGAAAACAGATTAATCTTGGTGACTCACATCCTGGCAACAGGTAATATTCCGACTACAAAAATTGAACTCTTTCCATAATACATGGAACATTATGGTCTTTGAAAGCTGTGGAGCTATGGGTCCGTAAATAAATCATTATTTTAGTGTGTATCATTACAAACACAATTTATCACATGTGTTATTGGACTTTTCCTGTCTGTTTTTAATACACTTGATAGTGCCAGGAAGGGGATTCAACCCTAAAGACAGAGTGAGTATGGTTTTACGTCGCTTTTAGCAAAATCATGGCGGAGGACACCAGAAATGGGCTTCACATATTGTACCCATGTGGGGAATTGAACCCACATCTTTGACGTGATGAGCAGACACTTTAACCACTAGGCTACCCAACAGCAGAAGGACAGAACTACTATAGAGGGAAATTTATCAAATATTAACACATATGAATCAAAATCATATTTGTGATGAGTAACACTAATTATTAACTAAATAATGGCTCTACATCTCTCAATATTAAGTTGGAGCAAATCAGCAGAGTGACGATAATGATTTGGGCAGAAAGACAACTTTGTTTATTGCCAAGCTATGAAATACCCTGAGGAAACACATTTTTCTAAATGTTTGAGATGTGACTTTAACAAAAAAAATCTGTTCAAAACAACCAGCAGAGTGATGATTTGGACAGAAAGATAAATTTGAGAATGTATTGCAAAGCTATACTACACCCTGAGGAAAATCATTTTTCTCAATGTTCATGAGACTCGATTTTAACAACAACAAAAATAAAAAAATGTGTTCTCAAGTGCACATAAATGTGAGGTCCTCAAGCATGAAGGTGTACAGTCAACAATCAATTTGAAGTGTTGGTCTTTGCAAGCATGAATGACAAATATTATCATCATTACAAAAGAGATTTGAAGTATCTGCCACATGCTCTCTCGCCCCTTCAATTGATGTGGACTAAGGTAACATTTATACTGGGACAAGATGAACCTGCTTCAGTGGGTGTGATGCTGTGTTGAGGTTGTGAGGCTGTGAGGGTTGATGACTGTGACACTGACACCCTCAACACAAACACACAGTGATTAGATCATAGCTCACTTAGCCTGGTGTGAGTTTGTGAACCAGTGAAGAAGTGCATGAGTGAGTGCAATTGATTGATTGATTGAGTGAGTGAGTACGGTTTTACGCCGCATTTAGCACTATTCCAGCAATATCACGGTCGGGGACACCAGAAATGGGCTTCACACATTGTACCCATGTGGGGAATCGAACCCGGGCCTTCGGCGTGACGCCCACATTGATCAAGGTTTAGATGAGTTCCTGAAAAGAGTCTTAGCAATATTCACTCTGTATCATAGTGTTTGCCAACAACTTCTATCTACTTGCTTGAACATTAGCATCTTTTTAATAATATTTTAGTCATGACCTACAAGCTTACAAGACTGAAAGGTATGTCGCTATTAAAGTTTGGTTTTCAAATCAAATGGTTTTAGCCACAAAGAGCCAGAGATATTTCAGCTGGGGAATCCAACCTGGGTCTATGGTGTACCACGAATATACTTTGAGTTAGGCTAGGCCCTTTTACTCAAGTTTTCTTGGTTTGTCATGGACTGGATATTTGCTGTGTTATCTCATTTCCCAGATATGTATGATCTGACCTAGATACTATGGTGTGCTGGCACTGATATCTTTCATCATGTAAAGACAATATGAAGTACAAACAGTTTTCACACATTGTTCTCCCATAAACATGATAATGAAACAAACCACACAGGGAACCAAAACCCACTAAGCAGCTGAACTAAGTTGTGTGCCACTACTAGTTTCATGCCATATGCTTTTCTGTAAGTGTAATGCAAAACAACAACTTTAGATGTCCATATGTGGTGTCAATAACATAATGGATCTAGAACCATAACCATGACATACTGCCAAGTATGCAGATAGCTAAGGCCAATAATCACAGACGGTGCTGTGTGGAGCTGGTGAGTCAAAGTGACACAGAATCTAGATGCACCATAGCAATGGTAACCCAAGACTGAGGGCCTGGGTGAGATATGTGTCTGTATCAGGCTTACAATGCTGATGGATACCAACACTAACTACAACCAACACATCCTTCTGACACAATGACAGCAACAATATCCCTGTCTTGGGCCTCAAGGTATCATGGTGTGGCCCTTACTATGTCTGTCTCTCAACATGTCTTTACCGTGAGACCTATGACAAGGACCATGGATGTGACCGTAGTCAAAGACAAACACTGCATTTATTTGGATGGATATATTTGTCCTTAAAGGCTTCAAGTTAAAACAAAATTTAAAAAGATTTTTTGAAAAGGAGACCCAGTGAGATGGTAGATTCAGAACCTGGGCTTTGCCATTGCAGATAGGGCTAGGCAGAAAGGCAAATACATGTAATGAGGTTCAGGGAGTAATAGACTACAGCTTTACTAAAGTTCTGACTAGGATTACAAGAAATGGTATCCAACCAAGCTGGTCCACCAAATTCTCCAGGGGCTGATATAAGTGCCCACTGAGTTTAATGACCACAGCCTCTACTGGTCTGTACAAAGATCTCTTGATGGACAGCTACCTTGCTGGAGGCAGGTCAGACAAACACTCCACCTGTCAGCCTCTCTCACCACTCCTTACTGACCCAGGTGGGGTAGCCAGATTTGTCAGATAGACCAACATGTGGAGCAAGGAATCAAAACTGTCCAAAATGCAGGTCTTTCGACCCAAAGTGTTGGTCTCTAATTTCAGCCATACAATATTGGGAAAATCTTAGTAATTCTCAACACCCATGGCTTTGAACCTTATCTTCAGATTGTAGTGTATCTGGGAAATCTTTACAATACTTGACAATGTCATGACCAATACTTGACCCTCAAAATTCAGACCGTAAGATGTTGGGAAAATCTTAACAATACTTGACACTGTCATGACCAATACCTGACCCTCCAACTTCAAACCGTAAGATATTGGGAAAATGTGAACAATACCTAACACTGTCACATGTATGACCCAATGATCAGGGCTGTACCTTCAGGCTGTATTGTATTTGGATAAATTAAACAATAACGACAAACTCTCATGTTTTAGCTCATACTTGGCCCTATAACTTCAGGTGGTATGATATAAGTAATATCTAAACAATACAGGCACACTGTCATGTCTTTAAACCAGTGACTGTGTCTCTAACTTCAGACTGTACAGTGTTTGCAGAATCTAAACACTACAAGCACACTGTCATATGTTTGACTGGATGCTTGGTTTCCAGGTTCAGGCAATACAACATTGGGTTAATCTGATTCCTGACACAGTCATGTGTTTGACCCATTGCCTTGGGCCTCTTAACTCAGGAAAATGTATAAAAAAATTCACTGCTTTGATCATCGTTAAGTGGGAAGTGAATGTTGTCCATGTCTTTTCAGAAACCTGGTAATGATTTATCATCATAAATTGTTATTGACAATTTGTGTAATTGAAGAAAAGATTCATACTTAATTTTGAACATGGCTGAATTAAAATAACATATTATATTGACATAACTGCACTTCAATATTAGTTGAAGTACATTTTTGTCAGGAAAGTTGAATTGTAGTGTTTCTTCATTAGCCAAAGGAATATTATGAAAAATAAGATGTTTCAATACTATTGTTTAACAACGCAACTTGATTTTATTGCTCTGCACAACCACCTTACATAAATGCATTTAAATGTTGTATATCTTAACCAAAAAATTCAAAAGATGTCACAAATCACAAACTGACAGGCACATGGCTTTCTGCTGTCTAAACTGACATCTTGAATATTACAAAATATTACTTGAGCTGGCTGACTGGCAGAAAAAGCATGAACCCATGTATTTCACTGAAGTGTATATGAATATGATTGTACAACTTAGACAGTAATAAAAAGCAATATCACCATGGGTAACCATAGTAACACTAATAATAGATGTCATAATCATACCCATATGGGTAATCAAACCAAACACCTCTTTTTTTCCGTGAAGGAATCACTAAACTGATAACTATATTGATGATTGGTTAGTGAATAACCTTCTGTGAAATGGGCCAGGTTTACCTGCCTGCTCCAGGCATGGGGCAGTAAAGGTGGTTGGCTTCTTACCTGTAGACTAGATGCCAACTGGCGGTAGTAGAATAAACTCATATCCTCAAGTATAATCGGAGGAGAAGTCGGTTCTTCTTCCCCAGCCATTCTTAGTGACTGGGAGCGACCGTAAAGTGAGCGATCAGGAGCTCCCATTGGTAAACGTTTATCCATGAAGAGAATGTGGACACTTTTATCCAGCTCCTGCAATAGTTCCGTAAATATCCCCTCACATGTAGGAAGCGGGCCAATGAAACCCTCACGCAGCCACAAAACAAACAGTGGGCTACAGCTGACGTAGGTAGGTAAGCTGGTTGTGTGATGTTAGACAATACTGCTACAATGTATGGGAAACTACCCACTTCTCAGGCTGGGGACTCGGTGGCAGCAGTTGTCGCACAGTGGTGCTGCAAGTCCTAGCACTTGGGTGTCAGATGTGGGATAGTGTGCTGAAGCCAAATTGTATGGATGTAAGTTTTAGCTGGAAAACATTACTAGGTAATTGTCTCATTGTTCCTGTTTCATGACTTCCATGTGTAGAGGACAAGTACAAAATAACTATTAGAATGGTAGGACTTTCTTAAATTTTGTTTCTTTTTCAAGTAAATGTATGTACCGTATTACTTAATCTTCAAAACTATTTCTGACTTATTACAATCAAAAGAGCAAAGCTTTATAGGAAAAGTACCAAATAATTGCATGATATCTCTTGATACATTTTACTTCAAAGTCTATTAGATTTTAAAGTTGTAGACTCTTACAAAAACCTGATCAAAGATAAATAACTTTGACAGTTTATTTTGTAATCAATATGGCTGCCAGGAGCAGACGACATGCTCTCTCAGGTGGATTTATATCTGTTATAATGATGATAATGACTGTATCAGTTACCTGTGGCAGTGTTGTCGGAGGGGTAGTCATTCGTCTGTGTCACAGAAGGGTTATACCTATTGTTCCCAGTGATTGTCAAGCAATAGGTCATACTGTAGGTGACGACTCGGCTATCTTCCCCTACTACTTTGCATGCTGATCTTGTGGACCTCGAGTTGAGTCGATGGCTTGAATTAAAGTCTTGATAATAGATATGGCTTATATATAGGCCGTCTATACTGCTTCTGTTAGGCTGCAAGCTGTGACAGTTGGAACATGCTGCATAGACTCAATATTCGGAACAGTTTCCTAGTCCAGTTTCTTCAGATAATGCACTGATGATGTATATCAGGTACCCATGGATATGTGATCTTGAACAAATGTTCTGATACAGTGTGTCAACTCCAGCCAATAGCAAGAACACTCAGCCCTCCACTGTCACACATCACAAATTAGTCCAGTAGAATCCAATTTACTTGTAAAAAAATCCTCTCCAATTTGCAGTTTTAACTGAAGGTCAGCAAGAACAGAAAACGTACAGCAGGAGGCTGATAAAAAACATCAGAAAATGAAACGGAAGGTGGACAAGTTTTCTCCAACTCCCTGAACCTGGTCAATGTTTCCCACTTATCGAATCCACCTGGGTGTTTCACTTAGCAGGCAGTGTGGGTGAGAGCTGCCAGGATGACAACCAGACCCAGCTGGCAGTGGTGAATGTACCTGGCGATATGACTACAATATGGAGTAGTACGTCCAGAATGTGTCCTGTATTGACACTCTCTCCCACAGGTCTGCTCAGGAGATTGTTATCCCAGCTGTATTGAAGGCCACTCGGTCCTGCTGTCTTATTTCTGCCACGTCTTTTTTGTGTCGTACCAGGTCAGTGTCCTTCCACTAGGTGACTGCAATTATCAATCACTCCCATCAAACTATTGCTTGTGTTGCTATTCCGGTCTTGGTATTTGCTCTAATCCACCGCTGCTATCAGAAACTTTATTCCAGGTGAAAGAAACCAAATCAAGGCCTCTATAAACTTCTATTTCTGTTATATTGCCTGTTTAAACAAGATGAAATACTTCTTTCCGAGGCAGTACCAATTTGTTGATCTGAGGCGCCTAAATGGTACTGCTCGCGGTGTCAAGGTCTCAGAATCTAATTCTGATTATTAATCACTTGAAGTAAAAGTCACAACACAGCATGTGTACATTGTTCTCTCACCCGATGACATTATTCGCAAAGGCATGTACGTCAATTCATAAAAAAACTTCTTTGACAGTAACCTTTTTATATGTCAAAATATATATCAGCAGTTTTGTTGAATGGAAAGTGAGTCAAACTTCCATAAACCAACTCATACCAGGAGTGTTAAAGCATTTCTATTTCGGTGATGACAAATCTGGTAAATGTAAAGTTTTTGATCATTTCCAGTTAGTCAGTGTAATTGTTTCACAGCGAAAACATGCACTTCCAGTTGTGTGTTGAGGTAGAGCCTCTGTTGACGAAAAAAAAAAAATCAGGCACAATACATGACCCATATATTACCAGGCTGTATTTCAACGTAATCCTCCAGATTCTCAACACATCATCCAGTTAATGTCTTTGTGCAAACCAGGTTCTGTGTCCGATTTTCACAATCTTGGGTCAGTCGGATATGCCGCCAGTGAATAATGTATACTTGTCACCCAAAGTCTATCCACACCTATCCACAATGTGTACACAGCTTCTTCCTCAAACACAGTGATAAATGGACATTGGCTCAAACGCTGGTCTGATTAGGTCTGATTCATGTTTGGTTCAAGAGGATTCAAACATTTGCATTCATTAAACTACAATAAACAGACAGTTCCAAACTTTCACAAAAAGTAGCCTGATGGTTTATGTGTAATTCTCATTCAAACATTTTTTTCCAAAAGTTCAATTTGATCAATATTTTGTAAAATCTTCCTGCATGAGAACTCTTATCACACTTTAAAAAATAACACCAAACTGTTAATTATCAAATGTCATGCTTAAATGATACAATGTCTTCAGTTCAAAAAGTGTGAATAAAGTCAGTTTTTTATTGATACAATTCACACGTCTGCCACAAAAGGTGTAAGCAGACGACAGTCAGTCAATTTGCAATCACCTCCAACATCAAAGCATATAACAAGCTCTTGTCCAACACTGCAATTCCTGAGGGAATCTCTACAAAAACCAACAATGTTGACGAAAGACTCACAAAACAAACCTGCCGAAATTGTTTACTTTTTGGTTTTTCCTCTGTCCAGGCTCAGATTTACACAGGTGAGACTTCAGTCATGATGCTGATGTCTCCAACTCATAGTACAGATTTCCATCAACTACTGTCATACTGTTTCCATTCTCTATACAATAAACAGAACAGATGATCATAAAACCGTTGATGTTGATGCCATAATGTTTTGTCTGTCAATATTTCCCATGTATGTCCATCTGATCTTCACTGTATACATTATCCTATATCACAGTCGATTTTATGTATTCAACAAGTAGTAGTGATCCTCCTGATATTCAAACACTGACATCACACAGATCTTAACAACAGAGTCATGTTTCTGAATTCAGAATCTTCCTCTGGTTAATCCATAGTTTATCAGCAGCTCTCCTATCTGCAATCCACTAATTCCTTGCAGTCCATCAATTTAGTCATCCATCCTGTTAGTCCACACTACTTGTTACAGTGCTGTTTGTACATCCAGAGGGTGACACTATTTATTGCGGGCTGTTATGTTTACCACAGACCCCTGGTATCCGGCCCAGTATTTGTGATGAAAGTGTGGACTACCTCAGATGTCATCCCACTCACACTGTCCAATGAAACTTGTACTGACCTCTATCACAGCCTGGACAGTCAGTATCAAGTTCATAACCTGGACAGGCGATATCAGGTTTATAATCTGGACAGCCGATATCAAGTTTATAACCTCTCCAGGCTACCATACGATTAGTTCAGTGTCGTGGACCCTCTGTAACATGTGACCGCATGATGTCCATTCATCCATTCAATGATAATGCCTTCATTCAAACCCATATAATACTATTTCCTTCAAAGCAATAAGCACACCATTGTGAACCGAGTGCATGGTAGCCCATTATCAAAGACCTGAATGAGACCTGTGCTGGCGGCCTTGGTGTCTCCCTCACCTGCCTCCCAAGCTTGTGTGATTACTACACTGTTATCCCCAAGACTTCATTGACAAACAGAAGCACACGGACAGGCCAGACGCCTCTATGGCTGCCCTCAACAAGAATATCTGTTTACATGGACATGAGCAATGAGTGTCCATTTTTCTATCAACATTGACATGGTTACAATACTACCAAATTTTACTGACTGAACCGTGGTTTGACTGTTTTCAGATTCTTAATGGCAGAGTTACACAAACACAGACTTGAAGGTCCCAGATTTCTGCACCGATTTGTCTTTACATCACAAAGCAGAAACATGATAACCAACCTTTTTACATGTCAACTTAAGATCAAAGGCTGAAGTAAAGACTAACATGTTATTTAATCTTTAGTGTTCTCTACCCAGGCAATCAGGTTATTCAAGTATTGAGCAGGAGGTCAAGCCACTTGGTCTTAACCCCATCAAGACATTTAGTGCTTGGTTACCGGGAGTGGTGACCGATATCTGATATGTACATAAGGCCATGAAATTTATAACCCTGGTTAACATAGTCTACTACTTTAGATTCTCCAGAATGTATATAAATCCAAGATTATATCTGTGAGTCATGCTTTTTCAAGAGGAACTGTAGAATCTGGAATGGAATGTTTCTCTTGTAAAGTATTAAAAGTTACAACAATTTCTAAAAAAAAGTATGACCCTGGTCTTTATGGAGTTTTGGGTGACAGCAGTTACAATGAGCAGATTGTCAAACATATGACTTGAACTGTTGAAAATCAAATATATCACCACTGTTTGTGAAGGAATGAGGTCATATTAAAATACTGTGACTTCAGGGAGAGTCACCCATTATGAACAGGTAGAGTATCAAATCCAGCTTCCTTGAGTGAGTGAGTTGGGTTTTACGCCGCTTTTAGCAATATTCCAGCAATATCACGGCAGGGGACACGAGAAATTGGCTTCATACCCATGCAGAGCAAACAGAGCAAACAGTTTAACCACTGAGCTACCTCATCATGCCAGCTTCCTTGATGACATGTCAACACTTTAATACAACTTTCACTGTCTTAATGACCTGCGACACCTACACACTCAAACGGCTTTGGGATTATCCAGGAATCTCCTGAATCTTTAATTCAGTCATTGAGTTGCATTATAACAATGACAATTTATGTGGGTTTTTTGTTTGTTTTTACAACAAAATTTGGCTTCTGTTGATTGTCTGTCATACAGACCTGGGTGCCGTTGTACAAAGCGATCGTTACACTAAGGTGAACGTAACTATGCTAACGTAACATCGACTAATGACAATCATAGGGCTGAGGTTATTATGTGCAACGGCATCCTGAACAAAATATAACAAAAGAAACTTGATACAGTTTGTCAAGTTGAGAAATTTTCATAATTAGAATGAGGAGAATCGCCTTACTACAACATTTCA